CCCTTGAAGCTAATTGACCAAAGCGCCTTTTTTTCTAGATGGAAAATGGACCATTTCCATGCCAAATAAGCATTGGAAAAGCTTAGGATATTTGAGAAGTGAAATTCGATTACTTGATAGGGCCAGATCAGAAGTGTAGCTGTCCATCCCAGTGCAGGTGTCTGCTTCGTGGGTGAAAGCAAGCAGGATAGAGAGGCTGGCTGCCTTTCAAACTGTTCTGTGGGGCTCAGTGGGAACCAGAGGATGGGAAAAGGGGCTGGCTTACCTGTGAGCATGCGTGCGGACTGCAGAAGTTAGGGCAGAAGGAGATGCCGCCTGGCTTGGCCCTTTCTCCGCTCATGAGGAGGCCTAGTGAACCGGTGTATATACATTTAAAATCCAGATTTCAGATCAGCAAGGTCCTGTGGTTGATAAGCAATCCTTTTGCCTTTCAGTTTGGTTCTTCTACAATAGCTATTGTTACGTTCCAAGGTATTTTTTAAACAATGAAATAGAAACAGTCCAAATATGCTGTGTGCAGGCACACAGTCAATTGTCAGAATACTAGTGCAAAATTAATGTTGATATCCTCCTCACTGCATTTCAGGTCATCTGGAATAGCCCAGGAACAAGTGCCACTCTAGATTACTGTTAGAGAGAAGATGCAGCAGGCAGTCTCTCCTGGTACCCTTTTGTTTTCTCATTTTCTTCCACTGCACTCCGAGTACCTTTGCAGTCATGCTTGGTGCTGAGATTAAACAGCTCCAGCAGTGAGGATGCTAATGACTGGGATTTAATTGCAAAGGCTCTCCTACCTGTGTGTCAGCAGTGTGGATTGTTATGACCCGGTTGTTGTCACAAGCAGATAGCAACCTGTGTGGGACATGTTCGTAGGTCTCAGTTTAGTCTCTAGCAGACAAGCCACTGCTTTATGTGCTGCTGGTAGCAATCTCAATAGCAAAGACAGAGATGGCATGGGCATAGAAAAGAAGCAAGCCTGTGGGACAGTTTTAAGACAAATTAGATGGGTAGCATAAAAGCACTCTTTCTACTACTTACCCTGTGTTGTGGATTTATGAAATTATGAAGTTTAGTCTCCAAGGCTAGTGATATTGCTTCTTTTACAAGCTAAGTGAGTGTCAAGCACCCCAAAATAGACCCAGGCATTTCTAAAGATCTGTGAAGATAGGCTTGGTATAATGTTATCCCATTCAGTTCTTCACACCCACCTGACGCTTCTTTGGAGGCTGTAGGATAAACCAGGGTATTTCGAAACAAGGAAATTAAATCTGCACCTTATCTCTGATCCCCATATTCCCTACAGTTTACAGTTTTCATGGTGTGGAAATCCTCTATCCAGATGTATCCCATTTAAGTAATGTAGGGCAAGGTCACTCCATATTCTGTCTTACCCTTTAATGAAGGAGATTGTTTCAGAAAAAGCTTAAGTATAAGTTGAGGAAAAAAGTAGTTCTGAAAAACAAGCTGATAGCATGGGGAAGGCTCAATTTCATTCTTAATCCTATGTATATATGTTACAGCTACAGGCAGCACATCCGACCTGGTTATGATATAGCTGCCCATCAGCCTCCTTACATGGTGGTTAGAAACAGCAGCACAGAACTGATGGTGTCCCAGGCGATGTTTGTGCACCAACTGCACTCTGACTTCAGGAGAGATCAGACAAGCTGTAAACAGGTCCCCTGGCTTGTATACAGGACTTGATAGAAATAAGGAAAAGGTGAACCTAGTGGCTATTTAGTGTTTTTTAAATCTTACTAAAAGAATACAGTTATTCCCCTTGGAAGTGAATTTCAGGCTTCATCTAAAGTGTTCTGATGGGAGACAGGAGAAAGCTGGATTTGTTCATTACGGTATTTTAATACCTTAGAAAATAAGTGTACTAAAAAGTCACTAGCAAATATGCTTGCAGGGTGACATTGTACTCTTGCATGAAAGGGGGTGTGTGCACAGTGAGACAGGTGCAGGGGCCTCCCCTGTATCCAGCTACCAGTTCTTACATCCAATATCATATCACACGCACCAGCCATGTTTGCCCACGGGTTTGGGCCCCAAGCACTTCATTTTGCAGGAGTACAAGGTGCAAGTGCCAAACAACAGAAGTGCAGACATGACTCCATTCTGGAATAACCGCACAGTCACAAGATTGCACAGGCAACACATGGTGGATGGAGAGTGCCCTGTTTTCTTTTAGTCTGCCTCTTTTTCTGTTAAACAAGATACTTGGTGAATCACAATTTTGCTGCATGCTCCATCCAGGAGACACTGTAACACACAGTGAACTCCCCCATGGACTTGATATGAGTTTTAAAAATTTATTGCCCAATCTGTAGGTTGATATTACTGTGTGTAATCCCAGAGAGTTGGTACATGTCCATGTGTCACTGCACATTTTCTTTAGATAGAGCTCTGAAAGCAAACTAGAATCCCATACTATTTATATCACAGCTATTAGAAAGACAACAGATGTAATAAAGCTTAGAAAGACAACAGGGGTTCCTGTGAATCTCGGGGCACTGTAGAAGCCTACTTTGTAACCTTGCTGAGAGAAAATGCATTCCCAAAACCTTACAAAATGGCTGTACTTTTGAAAAACCCCCTGTGCAACCTCAGTTTAGATCCCCGAGAAGTTACAGCTTTGCCTTCCACCCTGTCTTGTTCTGCTCTTGATGCATTGCGTGGTTTATGCCTGGCCCAAGCTTTTGCTAGCAAGGCCCTGTATCCTCCAGGTATGTCTTCCAGTATTTTAACCAGACACTTCCTACCTCTGCTAGCTGGCTTCTCTCCTGGATTCCCCAGTTAGCTCCCTTTCCTTGTTTCTTACCACCTCTTTATCCAACTACTCCATCCTTCCATCCTCCTATGGGCAGTTACTGACTCCTTCCCAAGTGTGGATCTTTGTCTCTTCCAACTCTTTGTCGTAGTCTCTGCCTTCAAAATATTTTGATTTACATCACATTTCTCACCAGCATTGGCTTTGAAAATGGTTTATGCAGAGATGAACAAGGCCAATACCTGTGTGAGTGTTGGAAATCCTGTGTGGTCCCAGAAAAGTGATGATGCAAGTTGCATTGCATTGTCACTGGCAGCCACTGAGTGGTCACTGTGCTGGCTAATGATAAAGACATAGGAATCCTCTGAAATCATTGAGCCACTCTATCTTTATGGTGATTTGGTAAATTAATTGCTGAAAGCTTTGTTAGTTTACTTTCCATAGTCCCTCAAAGGGGATCGCTATGACTCAAGCAACAGAAAGTGTATTATTTTTCATGGCTCTTTTGACTTTCAAAACATGGGATTTGTGTTCATCTGTTCTTTATCTGCAGCCTTTTCTGACTTGAGCAGACATTTGCAATAGGATGACATTAATGTCTTCTTCCATCATAACTCAACTTTATTTTTGCTTTCCATTTATCCTAAAGTAGCTGAACTGCAGCCTGTGAAACAGCTGGCAGGTAAATACATTATGCAGATAGTTTTATTTCATTAGCTGACATTAGGTTTTAAGGGTGCTGTGTTGTCATTTGCCTTCCTTGCAGCTGTTTTAGTGTGTGCTGGACCATTCATTTCACAGTGTATGCTGAACATAACGTATCAAACGGCTGCAAGGTAGAAACTAGACAGTGGGTAGTGTCTTCCATTTCTTTAATTATTAATTACATTTTGGAAAGATAGGTCCAATCTATCTCAGCTTTGGAAACACTTCTTGCAGAGCTGTACAAGATCAGTACATGCGTGGCATGTTCAAAATGACATATGGGGCAGGAGGTGCTTTATAAGCCTGCAACTTTGCATCACTGGCCTAGTGACTGTGGGGAGGTGCTTGTGCTGGCTAATGATGATTAACTAAATTGTGAGCAGCTGTTTCTTTAGTCTGTGGAACTGCAAGAAGAGTGAAGTGCAGGCAGCAAACCAGAGCGAGCCTGTCATGACACCAGGTGGGGAGCATAAAGGACATGTAGTATGCTCTCTGTATGTGCACAGGAACAGAGCCTGAGAGCTGGTCTTGAGAAGAATTGATTTTTTTTTTTAATTGACAACACTTAATTTTGTATTCTTTAATTTTTCTCACTTAATGTTTTTTGTTTGTTTGTTTTATTGTTTACACACACTGACTCTTATAATCTAAACAGAGTTCATCTAGCCACAGTAAAATCTTGATCATTCTCAGTTAGCTCTTCTGCAGACCCAATACTTTCCATCTGGAAAGGCAGTCAGTAATGCATTCAGAGTGCTGTGGTCAGATCTCCTGTCATTTCATTGCTTTCACAACATACTGCTACAGAACATTTAATGGCCCTCTATGAAGTGTTATTACAAATACATAAACCTAAACTTACAATTCAAAATAAATGAACTAAATTCTTTTGGTGGTGCAATATCATCAACTGTTTTAATCATGGGGGTTTGCCTTTCTAATTTGCAAAATTCGTTCAGCTTCAGTACATGCGAAACCCAGGGCTTCTCAGAGTTTCCAATCTGATCTTCCTTGGGACTAACCTTTATCCACAAAACAGAGGGAGCCTGGGAAATGGCAGAAGGAGTTTCCTCTCATCGTCTTGCAAGTGTGCTGAAAACTGTTCATGATACTTTAGTCTCTGTGCCCTTTCTTTTGTAAATGCCTCTGCTGAGAGTGTCAAAAGAGATAACAAATAATGCCAGCTGTGTAGTAATTTTATTGAGGGTAAACAATGTCTCAGTAAGAGTGGGGTTAAGAGCAACTAATCATTCACAGAGGTCACCAAATAAGCATGTTACATCACATTTTCATAGTGCTGGGTGAGTTATTTGTTTTGAGTGAATTATCCAATAAACTTTGGCCTTGGCTGATTTCAGAACAGGCCCTAATTTTCACAAATATGTCAGTCACACAGATGAGTTTGCAATGTTTGTTATTAAGAGAATATTACAAATGCACTCAGTACAAATGCACTGGTACATTACCATGTATGATTTATAGGTAGTCTGTGAGCTTGCCCCTTTTATTCTTTATCCTCTAGGGAGCCAGATTGTTCATGTGAGTTTCAAGCTGTGATTGAACCCTTAATAAAAAGTTGTGAGCAGTGATGAAGCTTTAGGGAGCCTAGGCAATACTGCGGTCTGTAGGGCAGCCATTCAAACTCAGGGTAATTTAGACAGAGACTCCCTGACCCTGCCTTGTCCCCGTCCCCTGTAAATCATTACTGGGGCCTTTTCCAGTCCCCCAAGCAGTACTGAACTGAGGTGTTACGGGGGGGCTGGAACTGGCAACATAAAGTGCTGGGGACTGGACAGAAATAGAGGTGGCAAGTTGGATACGATCTGAGCTCTAGTCTGGAGGGTTGTGGGGAGCTTGAGAAGGTACCTTCACCTCATCTCCTCTCACTCCTCACTTCTGTGGGCATTCATGTGTAGTAAACCCTGCTCTGCATCTGGCAGTGTGAAGGTGCAATTGTCAAAATAGGATAAAGAAAAGCCCAGAGCAAAGGCACAAACAGTGCATCAGAAATCATGTAAGTTCAGTTTCATTCAGTCCAAATCTGATTTCTCATATTTAAAGTTGGCTGCAGCAGACCAGCTGATCAGGCAGCAGCAGATACATACATCACATCGTATGCGACAACCTCAGTGTACTATATACATTCACAAACAATTTCCTCACACATTTTATGAGGTGAGTGAGCGATGCACTATCAGACACAGCAGAAGTAACCCTTCCCAATGGTGTGCGCCATCACCTTAACTAGACCTTAGATCTCTTGATGCCCATTTTGTGCTTTTCCTGCAAAGCCTGGGGAAAGAGTAGAATTATGTTTTCTGGGGAAGCACGGCCCTCCATGTCTCCCCTTGTAAGTACCTGTGCTCAACAGATAGTAAGTTACATTAATACTTCATATAAAGTCATACAGCCTACAGATAGTTTAACTTCATTTTCAACAGCTAATGCTTTGTAGTGGTAAAAACAAGACATAGTTCCTCTCCCCTCTTCTTTCCTAAAGGAAGCAAAACCCAAGGCTGTGTTTCTCATCTGAAAATGGACTGACTTCAACGTATGTTGGGTGCCAGCTGGGAGTCTGGCTCTGGACTCTCAATTCAGCAGCTCCAACCTCTGAAAAAAGCTGCTGCTTCTGTCATGTATGGATTCTGCCTTATGTTCAATATATATAAAAAACCCCTGTAAACTAACCAAACAGTGGCCTTGACTATAGCATTGGTTAAAGGAGAAGCAAAGGCATGCAGCACCATTTGTCAAGGCATGCTTCTATTGACCATGTTCCCTCTAAGGAAAATATCTTGATCTCAGGCTTTATTACTGAAAATTTGGGAAAAGTTTGGGTAAATTTTGGCAGTGGTGGCTTAAAAATTTGAAAGCAGTTAAGAAAGTCTGCTACTGTACAACCTTTCTCCTCCATAGTCCCAAGCAATTGCCACAATGACCACTCAGATATACAACACACTGACTTCCCTTGCCACGTGATGCTTTCTGGTTGCTGCAGTCTCTTCTCGTGGGCAGTGTATTTCAGACCGTGGCACGCTGACTCTGTGCTCTAGAGCACCTCCGAACGCTACAAAGCGGCAGTTGTTGTACACGCAGTATAAATTCAAACCCAACATAATGTAAATCTGTGATCAGAGGACAGATGCTGTTTACCTTGGTTGAGAAGTAGGTGTAGAGACCAGTAGAGAATTTTGAAGATTTTTAATAATTAGCTTCAGAAATTCAAATAGTAATTTCATGGGAACTGTCAAACTCTTTTTTAAAACTCCTAGTAGGATAAAAATACATATATTAATTGTTATATAGACAAAGATATACATATACTTAGAAATTGGCAGGAGAGAGAGTGAGAGAGAGTAATTCTCAATGAATATTGTATTAGATTTTTCTTCTTTTAGGGACACTACCTTTTCAGATCTGGAGTGCGCCTCATTTCCCAGTTACTACTTTCTCCTTCCTCTCTGTCAGTTTGCTTTTAAAAAGGAAAGTGACAACTGAATGATCTTCCACCATTTCCTTGCTCTGTTTTTACAGATACTGTTTCCTATTGCTGCCCCTGTTCTTTCATTTCAGCTGTGCACAGAATGATCTGTCACTTCTTACACTTGAGAAATATCCCTATCAATATAGAGATTAGGTCCTGATCCAAGCATTATTTAAGCCAATGTGAAATTTCAGTAGACTTTGGATCAGGTCCTAAACATTCCTTGCATAAAGATTCTCCCCAGCTGGGAAACTACTTATTTAAAGTTATGCCTCTGTGCTCTTAAAATCTTGGTTTTCCTTTCCTCAGAGCAACTTCATAAAACTGAAATCTCTGGCCAGTATGTCTGTGTCAAGAACATACTGTCTTTTCTTATAGTGTATTTTGGTGATGGCATTGAGTTTTCATTCCAGAAAAATGGGTGATACTCAAGGATCAGCAATGTGCTAGTTAACACATTGGACTTGTATATTCAACTCAGCCTCTCAAGGAAATTTCTTAGCTGCCCATTTGCCTCAGTTTACCCATCTGAATCCAGGGCATAATGCCATTGTGAAGTTTAAAGGATGCTTATTTTTGAAGTACCTGAAACAAAGGGGATTAAGTAATGCAAAAAAAGATAAGTTATTGGTTTAGGAAAAAAAAATTCTACAGCATTATCATAGGTCTGAGGAACAACAAAAAAAAGATTTGCTAAATATGGGCTTAAAGCCAACCTTGAAAATGTCCTTTTACTCTTTGTTTTGGATCTCATAACAAACACGCCAGGTTCATCATTTCAAAGAAATTATGTAATGAATGAGAATCTTACCCATACTCTAATCATGCTTCATGGTACATAAATCAAGCAGATTGCCTATTAGACTCATGTCTCTCTAGAAGAGCAGATGCAGTCTCACTCTAAATGTGTTGTGAAGACACGTCCTTTTGGGCCAGAACACTGTGTCCTCAGTCAAAGCCCGGGCCTATAAAAAAAGCATTGCAAATGGGAAAGTAATGTGCAGCACTGAGAAACCCCTAGTCATGTTCATCCTGTAAAGTGAGGTTTTACTGCAGGAACCTGCAGATGCAGAGTTAATTGATTCAGCAGCAGGGCACCGCGCTGCGAAGAAGCCTGAGCACACAGAAAGATATATGATTGTTTCAACCATTTCTGTTGCACGACAAATATACTTGCCTTATAACTGCACCACATTTCACTAAATTACATGCTCTGCGGTTTGCTCTGATTGTACGATGGCACCATTTGCTACAACCACAGACCACAGGGAGCTGACATTGTCTCCATGATTTCACTGGTTTTGTCATAACCATATCCTTTGGCATTGCTGCTGGTTTCACCAAAAGGAAATGCTAAACTGGATACACCATAGAACATTTCTACAAACACTTACTCCCAAACACTTTTAAAGGCACATGTCTATAGGCAGCACTTCTGTCTAGTGTAAATCTCCTTGCAAATGCAACTTAGGCAGCTCCCTCCTGCGCTCCCAAGTGGTGGCACTGGACTCCACATCACCCAGCGCTGAAACACCGCTTGCTTTGGTGGAGGTCGTGGGCCAGCTAGCCCTTCCAGCTAGCAGATTTAAATGTGCTTGTGGCTGATACTGAATGAAACCTAGTAGTTGCTCGGCGTGTTATTTCACCTTGATTACTACAGTTGAAGCATGTGATAAAGATACCACCCTGTGAGATGAGTTGGCAGGTGGAGGTGGAGGCCAGGAAACATCCTCAAAGTTGGCACAATTTAGATGGTATAGGACTGAGAAGATCTGGGGATCAAAATACGCTGTGCTTACTATGGGCTCCTCTGGAAGAGAAGAAGAAGAATGCCACTGGCTTACAGTGAGAGTGGCTGATCTTTCATTCCTCCACTCCCTCCCTCCATCCAAAGATAATGGCCTTCACTTGTCCAGTTTTTCAATTTTGCTGTCCCTTTAGGATATTGCATGTGCTCAGGCAGCTGGAAAAGAAGCTTTCAAATCATGATTTCAGTGGGTATAGCCAGAATCTCCTATCACTTGAAAGCCACTATAAAATAATATCGATAATCTGTAGGGCTGCAGTACTTTTTAAAGATAGCAGATTCTTCATTATCTTTGATAGTGGAGGTCTAAGAAGATCCAACTAATAGACTAATTGAGGTTATACACACACAATAGGTTATGGTGGGGAGCATATTGGAAAGATACCCGAGTGGTACAGCAGGCAGCCAGCCCAGGTTGTTCAGAGTGACGCTGCGCATTGGTGCATGAGCTCTTCTTGTGTCCAGTGAGCTTTTCCCTGAGTCATTACTGCACTCTGTCCTCTCCAGCTGGGTACATAAAGCAAAGCCACACACACTAGTGCTGAGTGATGCCAGCTCAGGTTTGTTGGGACAAAACTGTTCAGTCTCAGCTCTTGGCACAGCTATGTTTCTTCTAGAGAAAGCAGTGTAGCTTCATTCAGTATAGCTTCATTCATGAAGACTGTGCTCTGCAATGAACCAGAAACCGCTTGGATTTCACCAGATCCATGGTATGACCTGTCTGTGCCAGATAGGCTGCCCACACAAAAGGGAGAGTTGACTGTAACGCTGTTTCTGTTGGCAGGAATAACACACAGTCTCATTTCAAGGATGAGAATACATTGCCATTTCTTAGTTAGATCTGTTCTGTGGAAGAACAGAGAACTTCAGTTTCAAGTGCTATTTTTCTGGCACATTTTAATAGTGCTGAGATTACTTCTAAATGATGGAGGAATGGGCTGGACGGAGGTCTAGTGAAACATGGCGGTGATTTGTTCCAGGCAGTCATGGCATCGCTGGCTTGATTAGTATTTGTGTCATCCAACTGCACTATTTCAATAAATTAGAGCATTTTTATGGCTGAATTGAGCACTGTGGTGCATAGTCCACTTGTGTCATATAGATAGTTCTATATATATCTCCTGCCAAGTAGTTAGTAAACAAAGGCTATGAATGCCTACACCCAGCTGGAGCAGGTCTGTGTCCCCATTGTTATTTGAGACCAAAATAACAAGATATGTTATATACTAATGCTATGGCATATATTTCGCTCTTCTGAAAGGGCAT